GACCCTGCGCTCTCCTTCCCTGGTCTTCCTGTGCTCACACGTACCACGTGCCCTCCTTCCCCAGCCTTTCTGTGCTCACTCTGCAACACAGTGCCCCCTCCCCCAACTCATACACAGCCTGCACTGGGCCTCCCCCAACCTTATGGCATCACCGCACTCCTTACCTGGGACTCCCACTGCTTTCCACTTAACAACCTGCATGTCTTGGGCAACAACAACCAGGGCTGCCGTCACTAAGTGATGTGGTCACCTAACATTGTACTTTATGACCAAATCACTTAGCAACAGCAATCCTGGAACCCAACATTCCTTGGCTGACAGGACCCGGAGCATGTCCACCCTGCCGGACCAGATTGGATGAGTAGAAACAACTGGGAAAAGACAGTCCCTAAGGTAACCCAATCCCAAGTCATGAAGGGCTTTAAAGGTGACAACCAGCACCTTGAACTGCACCTGGAAACATGTCGGCAACCAATGCAGCTCCCAAAGTAGTGGTGCAACATGTGCCGAGTAGCTGACACTATCTACAACCCGGCAGCTGCATTCTGCACCAGCTGAAGCTTCTGAGTGCTCTTCAAGGGCAGCCCCATGTAGAGCACGTTGCAATAGTCCAAACAGGAGGTCACGAGGACATGAATGACAGTGAGTAGAGCCTCCCAGTCCAGGAATGGGCACAACTGGTGCACAACCTGAAGGTGTGCAAAGGCCCTCTTAGCACTTATAGCAATGATAGCAATATGTTTACTATCATCCCTCAAGTTTATGGAATATATTTTATATGATGTTAAAATTACTGGATCAAAAACCAAATTAGTTGTGTTTGATGGGGAAAATGAAGTGAATGATTGCTTGTTATAAATAATAAAAAAACCTGCAGGCAGAACAACATCACCTTTGGTTGAAAGCTTACTGAAGACAGGAAAATGGATGGAGAAATGTTATCATGTACAAATGCTGATAGAAAAGTAATGGATAGTATGTGGTCTAGAGATAGACCTCGCTTACTGATTGCCTTGTGCAACAACCATTCGAAGTTACAGCGGTGATGAAAAAATAACTGCAACCAAGGCACGCATTTATGACCTTTGCAGCCTCTCTCTGTCAGGTGTTCACCATTACAGTCAGTTAGTACACATTGTCCTGTGCCTGACCCTTTTTTTTCTCCCCTGCCAACAGACCGAGGTACACATTGGGGAATACACTGGCTATTTGCCTAGTGCCTTTGTGGCTTCCAGACTCAAGCGTGGTTACCAAACAGTTGGCGCCAGCACATTTACTTCCATGTGTATTCCCCACTGTGAGCCTGCTTATTCTCTTGTAATCTCTTCCTCTGCAATGAATATAAATACAAACATTAATTCCATTCTTGTTAATTATCCCAGCACCAGGGTGAGCATTCCAAAGGGCAGGGAAGAAGGAAAGCAGAAGTAAAATCGTAGGCACAGTCGCAATCATGTGATTTTCCACTTAATGACTGTGTCACTTAGTAACTGTGTTGCCAGTCCCAATGGTGGTCGCTAAATGAGGACTACCAGTCTTGAGAAGAATGTATGTTTGTCAAAAGGACCTAAAAGGGCTGTGTGTAAGTATGTACTTTTGCCCTGTAAGTTATATGGAAAGTTGGATGTGTCAAGAGAAGATGTGGCCAGCAGAACCTTTGCCCAGTTGTGGCTGCTGTACCAACTGTGACCTCCCCTGGGGAGGGGGGCCTTTAGAAAAGGACTCATTCCTTAGCACTAGGACTAGTGCAGTGTGCTTTACATGAGGCTGCTTTGAAGACTATTTGAAAACTACACTTGGTCCAGAATACAGCAGCCCATTTGTTAGCTGGCATACAGTTGTGTGAAAAAGAAAGTACACCCTCCTTGAGTTCTATGGTGATATGTATCAGGAGATAATAAAAATCATCTGGTCCTTAGCAGTTCTCAAAAGTAGGTAAATACAACCTCAGATGAACAACAACACATGACAGATTACACCATGTCATCATTTATTTTACAAGAAGAAAGCCAGAATGGAGAAGCCATGTGTGAAAAACTAAGTATACTCTTACTGCTTCCATAGGTATAAAGCGGCTAAGTAGCAGCCAGATGCTGTTAATCAAATGCCCTTGATCAGTTGATCATCAGCAAATGTGACTACCTCTATAAAAGCCAAAGTTTTAGGAGTTTGCTGGTCTTG